ACTTATTTGGATAGTGAAAATAGCCGCTTTGTCTGGTGGGGATGAGGTTTTCTTATAAATGTTACGACTGGCACATTGCATACATGATATCAGCTCATTTTATTCAGCTCGCATCCTCGATCCTGATATACAAGCTACAGTCTAAAGAAATTTCATTTTGAAACACTTCACTCGACTGTAACTTCCTTTAGAGTTAATAAAATAATAAAGTGTACAAATCATAACATTATCAACCAATTTTTCGGTATGAGTAAAAGCTTAAAATATTTTATATATTTATATTTTATTTATATCTTTTTGATAAATTGTAAATTCGTCGTCAGTTATATAGAAATTATATGGTGGCAAGTAGGAAGGACTATTGCTACATTCAGTAAAAAGTGATTTAATTATTTCGTCTGTTGAGTAAGGTAACCTGGGCTCGTTAAAAGGTTGGCAACGCAATGGTAATCTCATAGGTGCAGCATATGTCCTAGTTAGGGATAAAATACAATTAATATTAGTAAGGTGGTACTTTACGAACCTACATACATAATTTTTGATGTAAAATTTGACGATTCACAAGAGCGCGCAAGCGTCTATTTGAATGAAAACATTTTTGATGTTGATTTTTGATTTAGTACCCTGATAATTTATCATGTGGTAGGGTCACATAAACACCTTCTGTTGTTCTACGAATGGGAGGGCTCATTCAGAGAATACCAGTGAAGTGGAAGTATTATATTTTCGTGTTTCGTCTGGTGAGTGAGGTAGCTGGGGCTCACTATTTATAACGGTCGTCCACGTATCTGCAAGCCATCGGGTGTTGTAGATGCTCATGGACGGCGGATTCACTTAACACCAGTAGCTGCGCCTGCTCACTTTTTTATATGGGAATGGGAGGCAAACGAGCATGCGAGTCACCTGGTGATAAGCGATCACCACAGCCCATGGACATTTGCAACATCGGCTGAGTCGCAATTGCTTTGCCGGCCTTTAAGGCAGGAATAGGCTCTCTTTTTGAAGGTCTCTCTTGAAACTAATCAATAAAAAATATATAAAGAGTGAACGAACACTGTAGCGACTAAGCGTACGCGAGCATCACTATGCATTGGATCGGTAGATAGGAAAGCGGGTTTTCTCTTGGACAGGGAAAGGAAACGACGAGCTAGAAGCGGCTGCCGGTTTGTAGGGTGACAATCTCGTGGGAACTGTCTCGATAAATCAATGAATGAATCAAACTAATGTTGCATTACAAAAGTCGTTTCTTAGCCTTAGTACAGGTTACATTTTACGGGCTGGAAACCTTGAAACGAAAGAAAAGCAATCGAACCTCTCTGTCAGCATGATCGCGTTTCAGTTGTTCCATGGAACCACTATTGCATGCGTATACCCAGCCATGATGGCTGAAAAGCATAGAGCCGTAAATTTAAACGGCATGAAATGCTTAGCGTTGTTTCCTGTTTGTATCTCTCCCACAATGTGTCGTATTTACGTACACATAAAATTATAGTTTCGAGTATCCACTCGGACTTACCGTTGAATTTGATTAGAAATTCCCGGTTAGTCCCGCGACCGCGACGAATCTATACGAAACATCAGACTTAATATTACAAAAATTAGGTAAGTTTTTATATGCATTAATTTCGGAAAAATAAAAAAAAAAACGACGCAGGTGAGTATGCAGACGGGGACATAAACATATAAGAAATACTGCAACTCGTAATTCCCCAGAGCGTCTATAAATTTGCCTTGTAGCAACCAAAATAATACCTAGCCAATCGTACCGCAGCTTTTAGTCATACTGATAACAAATAAGTGCAAGCTTAATATCGCAGGTTTCGCGCGCTACTCAAATCTTCAGTCGACCGCAAATTAGCCTTTCGACCCCTAAGTTCGTACTAACGCGTTTTCCTTTAAGCCCAGACGTGATTAAGTCTCCAATAATTTCGGAAATGCCGGATTCCGGACTGCCCTTACAATTTTATGTCTTATTCCGATGAAGTCTCATGTTTATTTGTCCGTTTTGTTGTATCACGTTTACTGTGGGCCAACACGGCAGCTTCTGTAGAACATCCGAGGAAATACTATGTATAATATGTCTCACAGAGGATCGGTGTGATTGAAGCGTCTGGGGTCCACTCTTTTAAAGATTTTACGGTGGTAGGGCCACGCAGCGGCCTCGGCTGTTGCACGAATGGGCAGGCTCGTCCGCGTAAGTACCACGACCTCACGGAAGACGTTTTTCGCCGAATTTTCAAAGAGTTGTCAACGCATCTGCAATCATGTATTAATTAGGCATCAGTGATCAGTGTTGTATCATCAAGTGGTCACTTAACATCAGGTGATCATCTTGCTCCTTTGCCTCCCTTTCAATAAAGAAATATGTCCATAGACGGTAATGAATGAATGAATGGTAATCACGAAGTAGGCGAACCATTTGTCCTTTGCCACATTCTCGCTTAAAAAATTATACTTCCTAGAGCTGTTCGTATCAACAACATCCTCTTCAATCATTCCTGGTGGTTCTGTGATATGTCATGGTAAGGTAAATGCATATATCCGATGGGAAAGTCAGTTTCTCGAGTGGCAGCCTCGTACTGTCCACTGCGTCGATGCATGCAAGCGGCGCAGGATCGGCGGCGGTCATCACTTAACATCATGAACCATCAGCTCGTTTGTCACGTTCTCACGTCTTTGACGTTGCATTAACGATGTACACAGCCCATACAACAAGAACCCGCCGCGTGACTCTAACAGTAACGTAAAGTAAAGTAACAGTATATGTCCCACAGCTGGACAAAGGCATAGTACACCACGAGACCTCACTGAGGATTGGCGGGCTTCACATATCTGCCAAATATTTGTTTGTTGTTTTTTGGAAAATATGCAGGTTTCCTCACGAAGTTTTGCCTCGCCGCTGAGCACGTGATAAGCCAGCACTAAATTATTAACAATCTTATGGGCACCGGGATATGAACTCAGGTTGGTGGAGTATATTAAATTAAAAGCAAGCGCCTGCACACTGAGCTATCACGGCTCTCGCCCTAACATTGGTTATTTGAAATTCCATCCCTTTGCATGACGAATATCTCAACGCGAATGACGCACTTACATGCTTACTCGCGAATTAAAAGATGTTTTGACAAGATCGGCATAGCATTGTAAGTATTAAGGAATGAGGTACGAATATGTGCTTTTCAGTCACGCAAGTAGTTTGTTTTTGAGGAATATTCCGTATAAAGCCAAAAAAGATGTAAGTTTATTATATACAGAAAAGATAGACTAGCCCAAAATACATTTTGCCACGAAACGTATATTTAATAGAATCTTCATTTTTATTTTTTTATTTCGATGTCCCAAAAGCAAATAACAAAAACGTTGTACAAGTTTAAGTGGCTCATGAATCGATGGGAAATCCCTATAACATTCTGAAAATGTGTTATTACGTATACCAAAACATAAGTCGTCGGCGTCATAAGGATTATAGAGGTAACGTTGGCTTAATTAAACCCAACTTCACTTAACACAACAGTACGGACCCCGGGATGTCTGAAATTCGACCCAATAAGTTCCACCTCCAAACATCTATAGTAATATTTCATCGTCGGAAATTTTTGCAATGGGTTCGTTTCAACTCGCATGCGTTCCCGTGTTAATTAGATTGGTATTTGGTCTTGAACTCTGGAGATATATCGGGGAACTCCGCAAAACCAAATAGAATATTAGGAATAGAGAAATTTAAGGTCGGTTTTGTTTTTGTCAATAAAACTGGTTTCCTTTTTTATTTAAGAACGGAAAAATAACGCCTTCGAGCAGAAACCAATGCAAATAGCTTAAGCGGCACATAGAAAGAAAGAGAACGGTCCATTACGATATGCGTTCAGCCATGATAGCGCTCTAAAAACTGTTCTCATAACGATAATATGACAGCTCTTTTTGATTCCACTGTATCGGTGAGTAAACAATGAGTTTAATGAGAGAAAATTATGCGAAAGCGCTGCAACTCTATTAGTTTAGACGGTAGTCTAGTCATTTCTCGTAACAAACTGATAGTTAAACTAATAAAGTTTATATTTTAATAAAGTTGAATATCCACCAATTAGCATATAAGCTAGAGAATTTCTAATTCCATCAGAGACAGGCCGTTAACAGTAGACATAATCTTTAACTCAGTTTGAACACGCGAACGGTATTTAGAATTGTCTCTACCATTATGTGAGTCGCTTAGACTAAGCCCGAAACAGTGGTTTTGCATATCATGAGATGGAATTGAACGCGATGAACGTAAAGAGGATTTCATTAAACACGCTTAGTATTCGATTGTCTTCAATAATTCGGTGGACGCACTTTAAATATAAACAGAAATGCCGCGAACCGAGTCAACTCTTTGGCGCGCGTTCGGAAAACTCGCGGGATTTCTCCTCTCGCCGCGAGATGGCGGTGTCGTACGGCGATTACATCATATAAACGGACGCCCGCGCCGCACCGCGCATAGCCCGTCACGGCATAAGCGCGATCACACCGCTGTGTTCAAAAAAACACTCCGATCGCGTCTCGGTGCACGAAGTTACGGACATTTGTGTTACGAACCTGTGCCAACGAAGTATGGATATACTCACCCTGGACCCAACCGGACTCTATTAAGCGCACCGCACCCACGGAAACATGGACGTACTAACGCTGGACCCAACCGGTCAGTACTGAGTTCCGGGATGGCTGTCAGGAGTTTGGATCCGACCGGTCTGTATTGAACTTTCTTATTAGAATCCGACTCGATGAGATGGCGCGGTCGCTTGATCCTACCGGGCAATATTAATTACTGCGATGGTCGGCCTGGACCCAACTGAAATCTACTAAACCCCCAATCCGATGAGCCAAGATGTGCTGCGGGAGGCGCATGATACCCACTGGCACGCGACCGGAAGAGACTTCTTCGTGCAGAAAGAGGAGGCTTGCGGCCGACATAGAATTGACCGCTCAATAACAACTCACTGCGACCTGTATATAGTATGGATAAAATGAAGGGGGACGTGTCCGCAAGGTCATTGAATGGAAATCAGCTGGTCCGCGCGGCGCGTGCAATCCGGAAATGCACAGATATCGGAAAATACTTTCGAGCTGCAGCGAAAAATCTAGTTTCGGAACGCATTTTCGCGCCGCTGCCGACTACTATGGCTTCAAGTAAGTTTTTTTATGTTGATTTCCAAATTCGAAAAGTGTTGTCATATCAAAATGAGCAGTTAAAATAGTCTTAATTTTATAAATATGTTTTTTTTTATTTATTCAATCGACTAATGACTGGTCATTTCATTTCGTTTTTATATATTTTATTATGTTTAATTGACTTTCTGGTATGTTGTTATATTTCAATGTTTAAGTATTCAGAGACAAAGAACAAGATGGGAATCTCCCATTATAACTGCCTAATACTATTACTCGTTGCCAAGACAATGAAACTATCTCCCTGGATCACACTGGTACAATTAATTATAACCTACAATTACAATTTATTACAATTATTCTTACAAACATGAAGAAATTAAGTTTAGAACCGCGTTCCAGCTCTGATTTTTTTCTTCTCTGCCCGAATTTCGGCCAGTATCGCGATTTTTATGGCACCGACCGCGGGTTCGTTGACCGGACATATTTTATTTCATCGCGCGCTTCCACGTACACACAGAAACAGCGCACACACGAACAGGTAGATGAAAGCACGCACACTATCGCAACAGATCTCCGCATGTTTGCGTCCAACTTCGCAAAAACACCGTGCGCTCATTTGTATTATGAATGTTATCATAAAATTAGCCACAATTAATTATCATTATTGTCGTGCCACAATTAAGTGACTTTTAAAACTGGATTGTTTTTAAAGTAGACGGGATCATTTACCTGATTTATATCTGATTTAGCAACGCTCGTAAGGTTTCAACACCGCTTCCTGAATATAATTGTCGCATTTTCTTACCGAAGGCGTTGTCGTTGGCGGGCGTACGTTTACCGCGTATCGTACATTTTGAGATTAACAAGCGCGTAATGCGCTTGTGTTTGCCGAATTCTTCCAGTTCAACAACCGGGCGAACGGCCGATCGGCAGTTCAAAATAGACGCGGAGTCGCGACTCGACGCTCCGGCGACATTCGGAACTCGTCGCCGTATTTAAAATTTCGAACGACGAAACCCTGATGTAAGCCCTTGGCAGAGTGAGCCGACGACCTTGCTCTGTTCTAACTTTTTAAATTTTTCAATAATGCGCGACACACGTTCGCTAATTACGACATGGCGGCCGGCGACTTCGCGCGCCAAAACACGGAATAGCGCGGCCGATTTACATAACGATCTCGTAATAAGCCCATGTATAAACATCTCGGTACAATTTTCATTGGGGAATTCCGCCGGTACAAAGTTTTTGACATGGAGCCCTAATAATTCAGCACATGGTTCGCGGTATAAAGATTTAATTTCGTTTGAACCGCCTTGACCCCGAGGAATCTCCGGTGCTGCAGTGTGGCCTGTTTTTGGCATTGCGTCATCATAGGTCATACCTCCCTAGTCCGCCATATTTTTTGCTTATAAAGTTATGCCCCGCACGTTGTATTCTTCCTTTGTTAGTCCATTTAAACTCACGCCAGCTATTTTTGGTGGCTTAATATGGACGACAGGTGTTGTCTCATAACGTAATGGAGCGTAATTCGATGGTTATAGCTTGAACTCTACACGACAGCTCGTTGTTTTTTTTTACATTTAGAAAATCATATCCTCGATTGCATTAATTACAACATACGTAATGAACATTTTCTGGTATTATTAACGAAATCATTCCGTAGGCGTTTCAAGAAATTCTTGGTAAATATCTCGCGTAATATGGTGCCGATCTATAAAATTTAATTGAATGCTTGAATTAAGAACAACAAGGGCATAATTGTGGTAATTTATCTCTGCGGTAACTGATTCTGTTATTGGAAACACAATTAAATTCTGCCGTGTTCAGTTATGCATAAAAAGCGGTAATTCGACCTTAGCGCCAAATAAGGGAATGTTATTTATGAAAGTACACAATCGTGTGTGACCGCATGCGAAATATTTTCGAAATATGTCAAAAATGACGCCATTTTGACGCCGATATAATTAAAAATCGTCAATACTATGATTATTATGTTACCTACGTTATACTGTATCTACAGGGATGGAATGTTCCAGGCGGTATTTTTTTCACACGCACAAGAAAATGCACATGAATTCAATGGCGAACGCGTACCATTTTTTACGATGCAAAATACTACATGTCGTATTACAAAGGTGCAATACAAGGTCGCGAGACAGCTGGCCGGTCTAATTAAAGGTTTTATGTTTAAATAATTAAGTGGGCGACGCCATAGTGCCGTGGCAAAGGCGTCGGGCAGGTGCCCGCGTTGTTCATGCAAAAATAAAATCGTCATTTACGTACGTGCCAAATTGTGGTCATTTATTACGGCGCGACATTGTATAATGCGCGCGTGTAGCGACCTGCGAATAGGTCTTTTCGCAATGTAACTATTCGGTCCGTTTACGGAATGTTCTCGGCGCTTCTGCTAGCATTATGTCAGAATTAAATAACAATTTAGTTGGTAATTAATTAGCGACCGAATTATAACTTAAACGAGCTTAAGAAGATCACGTTAGACGTTAAAAACTTGGCGTTTCGTCATAACTTAATTTACGACATTGAGTCAAAGTTTTTTTATCACGATATGGAATCGAATTTAAGAAAGTACTGTAACAATGTCATCAAGCTAGTTTTTTTCATAACTAAAGTCGTACGTTTGTTTATCTCAAATATTAGATATTAATTAAAGACAGTGTACGAAAAATTAAAAAAAAAAAAGAATAAATAAAACAGAATCGTTTGTCCACATGGCGAAGACATATTTCACTAGATTTCCTCCAATCAAATAGATAGAATCTTACGACGAAAATATTTTAAGGAGTCAACAAACCCTGGCCACAGAACAGGTTCTTTTATTAGTTTGAACACTGATATTTTATTTGACTATACACTTGTTACGACCGTCGACATAAGAAATGGACCTAATCTGTTTTGATTTTTACGAAAACACCGATAATTATGGTGATTAAGTTATTTTTTTCTATTTGCGCGAATACACGGATTTTAACAGATTCCATTTTATTATTACATGAATATATAATGAGCGAGTTATCACAAAACATAAGACGGAGTAAAATTTAACTACGTTAAAAATTTTATTAGATTTGAACGGTTCAAGAGTGTTTTAGCAAAACATAAAAAACTTTTATTAATATATTTTTTTAAGTAAATACAAAAGGCATTGCGTAACCTCGATAGTCATCAAATTATGAAACAATCTTTAGGTGCCAAACACTGGACCCAGACCAAAGATCAGAAGCCTGGCCAGCCTTGTCTGCACCAAGTTTAGTTTCATAACAACTTGCATAACGTATTGCGGCAACTCTCAACTGGAATGGTAGTTTTACGTTGTTGTCGACAGATTTGCCTCGTTTTTTTTTTCTTCTGCTCGAACGCATGCATTATATGCATTTATAAACATTTTTTGGGGTGTACATCAAACGTGTCGTATAATAAAATAGTATGTGAATTATTTTACCCTCTATTGTTTATAGACATAATGAAAAATTATTGACCAAAGAAAAAAATATACTCATGTTTTAGTTTAAATAGTGTTACTAGTTAAATAAATTACAAAACATTTACAAATTGGAACACGATCAAAACGATCTGCAACTCCTTTGGCGTAATATTCACCACCGTCGCCAAAACTGTAATAATATTACATTTAGTTATAAATACTCAATCATTGAGTATTAATACGTTCCATAAACACGTGAAATATGTAAAAGAAGTTAATATTAATAATTATGTTCACAATACCACAACGTTTAAAGGACTTAAAAAGTCTCTGCTCACGACCTCTATATTAATTAATGTTTTAAATGATTGTTGCTGCTTACACCACTGTAAATTGCGTCTTCATAGTTTTTCTAGGCCAGCCATGATGGATTCGTCATCTATCATGTCATTGACACCGCTGCATCGGACGCCAGTATACTAGGAGATGATGAGAAAGCGTTCAATCAACTCACTGGGTGCATCCACCTAAGTGTTTCACTCATGCGAATTTCGCCGATGCAACAACAATAGACGAACATCAAACATATATTTTTATAAAATATATTTTTGCCATTTATTGAATATGCATATAAAAATTCCTCTTATTTATTTACATTCCAAGACGTAAACGTACTGATAATTTCGGATGTAGTGAACGAGCGCTTTATGTCAATTATTGATAACGCACACGAACGCATCTTCACACACATATCGATTACAACTCTAACTCTAACCTTCTGTTGCCCTGATACCAAAAACATAGTAGCGACTCACGAACAAACCCAACAGCGCCGTGAATACATGTGGAAAATCGTATAAGCACGCCCCATTCGAAGTAAGCGTGTTCTTCGTACCTGTGTGCGAAGAAAATCATTTCCTCGTACCTAACAAACACGAAGAGATTATTTATATGTATATGCGGTACAAACGTAAGTGGCAGTATCTCATAGTACATGAACGCGTGTTAATAGCAAAGCTGTGTTTCCGCATAGGAGCTCTTCGAGCCAACGAACACTAGCGGGTGCGGCGTGCCCCTGTATGAACACGAGAGCGTCAACCTTACTAATCACAAAAAGTCGTTTTTACACCATTCGCTTCATTACATTTTTTTAGATAAATTTTTGTCATGGTATTGTTATCAAAAGACCCATCAAAGTTTCCAAATATTTGGTATCTAGCAAAAAAATCAAATGAATTTACTGATCATTTTGAAATAAAAAGTTCAAGTCAAAAATTACGTTTCGTGAAAACAAATTACGTCAAAATGTCGTCAGACGTTGTGATTGTGACGCGCCTACACGCGCTACCCACACATCCAAATATACACATGCACAGAGAATCCTCCGCGTATAGAACACATTGAAACTAGGTTCGTCATAAGTTGGCCTCTTGCGATCTCTGCGAGCCTGGTACATCGTCTCCCCGTAATAAGCTGAAGATAAACTCGCTTTTCTTGATCCTTTGCAAGGAAAGGGAACAACACTATTTTTATTTATGTTTATACTTCCGCATGTGTTCCGATATGTGTTTGAAACATTTACTTCTATGCTTGAGTTATATAGTTTTACATTTGTAAAGTAGCGTTTTGAATTCAGGCCTATCTATATAGAAAAATGAAAAAGAAAATATATTCTATAAAGAAAAAAAATCTACTAAACTTATTCTTAATCAACTAAACTTTTAAATCACAATACGACCTCCCATATACATTGAATGTGAAATACTTTAGCCGCAAGTTTCATTAAATAAACTCCTACGAGACTTAAAAATTAACCTCTTCGTATCATCTTCGCTCCTGGTACAAAGTGTTCCAGTTGACGATCCGAGCGATCACAGATGACTTCAGAAAGCATCCGTCGCTTGTGTTTATAGATAAAAAATAAAAGATAAACCAAATTACATTCGATAAAATAATTGACGTATGACGATTACTTCGTTCATGTTTTTTTATATAAATTTGAAATTGACCTGAAAATAAAATGGAGACGTGAGTTGGAGCTTGCAGCGCCATCTGTTGTCAACTAGGCTGTATTTAAAATTTAAAACCCGAAGTAGCAAGATACTGATACAAAAAACGGGTATCTATGTTGGATGTGAGTGTTCAATTTGAGGTATTATTTAAGTAAGGCAATGTGTCGCGGGGCTTAAAACAATGACAGGTGCATGGAGCCTACTTTTAGCCAAGGATGACTACTACAGGCGGGTGCAATGGGACGTTGGCAGCAGACATTAGCTAGTTTTTTCTCTCTCACTCCCGAGGACATGCCGCGGGGTTTATAATTAGTGACTTTACCGGAATTATCCTCATGACAATTTCAGTGCGCATGACGATAATTCTATTGCATTTTTCATAAAAACGCCATTTCGCAATCTGCATTACGTTGCATTATGCATTAGGGATATGTAAATCAGGTGAAAGACAGACAAGGCGGCGTTGCGTTTTCCAGTTGAATGGGATTTATTGATTTCCTACAAAGATTGCTCCACTTAGGCGACAGATCTAATATTTTACTATCAAACATAAATGTAATGTATGTTCGGTTCCTTATCGTCCATTCCCAATAGTAACAACTTGTTATTATCATAATAGAAGCCATTTTGAAAGCACCCATCACATTAAAAATTCTGATAACAAAGGGACAGCGCCTTTACCAAGGACAACAATGTTTGCGCAAACAGAAAGGAATTATTAGTTTCAACAAATGACCATTTTTTGCAACTTTTTACGAATCGCTAAAAAATCGGCTGGCTTTCGCAAAAAAATCTTAAATTTGTGTAATGACACCGCAATAAAACTTTGCCTTTAAAAGCGCAATGGGTTGCCTCTAAAAATATAATTCTTCCTTTATTTTCGTAAATCTTTGTGTGAATAATCGTTATTGTTTAATTTTTTTGCAAAGGCCTTCACCGACATTCTTGGGTGAAACATTTTGTTCATTTTCAAATTGACGATATTTGTAAAATTGACATGTGTAACAAATGTATTTTCAATTACAAATCATTTTTCTAATACTCGAAATCTCTATAAACATTTAAATCAAAAATCTGATAATTTTTAATAGCATTTAATCCTTGTTAGTACAAATGCAAAAACAAATACTTTTATTCACTTAGACGCTTGCGCGTTCTTATGAAACGTCGAAATTTTACATAGAAATTAATATGTTCGTAAGTTACCACCGGTTCCGAAAGCAGTTTCTGTTGAGAAGAAACCGGCAAGAAACTCAACAGTTGCTCTTTTTTAAAAGGACTAGTTTACAATATAAGTAATAGGACAGGTATAAGTCTCATTTAAGCCTACGTGAGTATCAACAGTATTAACCCCACACATTGGCGTCGTCAAGAACTATTGCAACTAAGCACGTGCTATTGTTTTACTTGGGAAGTTTCAAGGCTCGAGCTTCTTATAACTCTCTGAAAGTGACTGCTCAAAGCAAAACTTCTACCACAAAACAGTTCATTTTCTTCGAACATTTAAATACCACGCAACTCCAGTTGCCATTGCGTAACCGCATAAGGTAAAAAGGCAATTAAGTAGTTGCATACGTTCACAATTAACCAAAAGCAATTAGCAATTTCAGAACCATTATAAAATTTTCACTGTCCTGTTTCATTTTGTTTCAAACTAGTCCAAGTAGAAGCAATGTATGTATATAAATAAAAACAAATATGCAAAATGTTGCCGGCCACCTGACAGCATGTGGTTATTATATCGTCCATTGAAAAAACAAGTCGAGTTTAGAGCCTGTATTATCTTACATCAGGTATTATTTAAAGCATTATGTTCACGAAACAATTAACCCTCCATACGATGCGCAAGTGGACGAAACAGCGGGCTCGTAATGACACTTACATATCTCAATGTTTTAAAACCATAAACTTAATTCATTGTATATTAAAGGCCAAAAACGTATCAATTTGAACACACGCTAAGACTCAGTTTGAACAGAATTTGAATGCACCATAAGGTGATCTTAAAAAGTATTTCGTCTAATAAATTTCTTAATTACTTTAAAATAGTAGTTTCTAGTTTTAAAGTTATGCAACCTTATTACAATTGTAGAGTATTCACTCCCAATTTAATAATTTATTTGTTCCTTCCAGATGCAATCCAGCCCGCCTCCTCAACACATCACGGCTGATCGTGCAACAACCATGAAAGATGACCTTGAAGAATCTTTATTCTAATACTCACTAGTGTTTAAGTCGCTAAATGACTGATAATTATTTTTCACGTTGATTTAATGCACAAACCTTTCATGCATTTGTATTTTATATAAATTATTCGTATTATTTTTTAAATCGTAAGAATGTGTCCGATGCGGCTTGGCTGAAAAAAATATTTCATTGCAGACTAATTTTTTTATATAAAAGAAAACTCGATATAATTTTATCGTTCGTTTATCTTTTATGTCAGCGAAGTGGCACTGACTTTTAGTTTTAAGAGAAATTAATGACAAGCAAATAGAGGCAAAAATGGTTTGTTTTGAATGGTTTTCTTCATATCGACTGTACATTATATTGAGGAACCTTCAAAATTTACCGAACGTGTAAAGATTCATATTATCTAGGATTAAGTCTTTGTTTAGTTTTCCGAACTATTTTATGTAACTTTGCGCATAATTCGAGTTACCATTGTTTGACCTTCCGCTTGAAGAAATTGTAAATAAAGTTATCACGCTGCTTATAACTCCGCTATTTGTTTTTATTAATATACATAATATTATCAACTCTTCTCTCACCAGCTGTCCAGTGGATCTGGTTTCATTGAGATATTTTGTTAAGATGACACTGTTCTTAAATCTTACAGTCGATTAGGTGTCGCTAATTAAGACTGAATTAAAGACGAATTAGGATATTTTTGTGACAACTCTCGTGTAAATCTTGATAGCCCAGAAAGGACCCCACTAGCGCGTCTTTTGAAATATTAATTGTGTATGTATTCGTGATTAAATAACAAATAGGTACTAGGGGAAAATAAAGATGTTTTATACTAATATTAATCGTTTGCCGTTTTAATTTCGAATCTCCCGCTCTTGATACCAACACCCATACTGTAAAAAAATAAACCTATGGGTAGTACCTTACATTCTTTCTTATTACCCATTCTGTCACCTTACATGACAGGGTTATGAGGGTACGAACTCTCCTAAAACCCCCTCGGTGGCCACCTTCTGTACGCTTCGAGGAACTCCGGGATCTCCTATGGAACGCACCGGTGTCCCTCGGTATTGGGCGTGAGCACGCCTCGGAGAAGAGTAAACGTAAGATGTTTTGGTGATGACTGACTTTTGTACTTAAGTCTTTAAAAGATTTTATCAGATCCGGTACTATAGGAGAGGTCAAGTTTTCACCAGCCGATGTAACCTACCTAATAAGAGACTCACCTCGGCTTGTATATTCAGCATACAGGGAGTTTTAGGTCAATTAAACCACAATAATATCCGTAAAAGAGTTTCATTCAAGAGTATGGTGTTACTAGTTAATTCACAGAACATAGCAACATTAGTACGAAGCTTAAATTGTTAAACTTTAGCTCTCTGAATGGCCTCTAACGTAAAATGATGTTAAGTGATGCGCGCCGCCCATGGAAATTTGCTACGCCCGTAGGGTTGCAAATGCATTGCCACCTTTAAATACCCTACCTATATACCTGGCCTACTATAATGTCCAAGGATACATTGAGGACAAGGATGTGTGGAAACGACTCTTACAAGACCCCTGGCTGTTACTGATTTTATACCTAATAAGTTGTAATAAGTTTGTATAATTGCATCACAAAAAGAGAACAAGACCGCAGAGTTTCTTGCCGGTTCTTCTCTGTTCAGGTCTAGTTTTGTGAACCGGTGGTAGATTTTTTGTTGGCGTTTAATAAGAGCTTAAGTTAAGACTATTTTGAATAAAGATACTTTGACTTTGACTTTGAAAAAAATAAAGTGTCTCCGGTTACGTCATTCACTAAAAGAAATGCCGAAGTATAACATCTCCACTTCACGGCGCTCTTCTGTGAGTACGTGGTACTTACCCGGACGGACAACAATCGTCCAACAGCGAAGACTTTCGTGGCCCCGCCACACTTGATCTTAAATTGTTACAGAATCTCGGACTCATATAGCTGATTATTAAACGGTTTTATTTAGCTTGACCCGTACGGAATTTGTTTGTTTTGGTTAAAATTAGAAATTGAAATTTAAGCACCTTGCCGTTGTCAGATTGATCTGAAATTTGGTACACACATTTGATTTAGATGACAATACAATATTAACAAAAAAAAAACATAAAATAAAACGTGTTTAACTTAAAAGTTTTTAAACGGTTTTATTTTACTTTACTAGCTTGTGTTAAAATGTGACTTTTTTGCAGATAAACTTAAAAAACATTTCGGTACTGCGGGATTTGAATTTACCAAAACAAGCCAAGCATCCGATGACCTCACGGCGCGAAAATCTCGACATCTGTCGTTCTTAATGGCATTTTAGCAGTGCGTGGCGCCATCTAGTATGCATCTTTGTAGTGCTTTTTGCTGTAAATAAATGTTCTTTTTTCTTAAGTATTGCTTGTCTTGAAAGGAGCCTTATAACATCTGCTACACATAAATTCATTGAACAATTACAACAATTTTAAAATTATTACACTATTGTTGTTGCGTATACGTCATGTTAATAATTTATCAGCCTTTTCTTTCGATAACACACTTTTGTTTGTTTAAATTGTGGCTAATATTATACAGGTATAAACGAGCCTTAGTTGGTAAAAAAAAATCAATGGTAAGAGACGTCCCTCAACAGAACAACAAAACTATACCGCTTGGTTATCAACTCATAAAGGGTACTAAAGCACATTATGGAATACGATTCATATATCCATAAGTACACATATCACAAATCTATCGAGATTACTGGAGATTTATACTCTAACGCTGTACGTAAAAGTACACTGTCCGTTGGTCCAATTATTTCCTTATGCGTTGCTTATATCGCTTACAGGGCAAGAACAGGTGAATACATCCATCGACACAGCCTTGAATGGACATTCGTATATAACATGAGCTAAAATTAAACTTCAGAAGATCAGGTATTCTTTCGATAAGAACAAATATATCACTAAAATTTCAGCTGTGAATTCCGCGGCACTGGTATTGAGATATTAAAAAAAAAAACATTCGAAAAACAGTTTTTATTCTGCCTCCTGTCGATAATACTCATATGGTGGTCGTTAATCGATTTTGGAACGACTTTTGCAACTAGTTTCTCCCATTGCTTCTTGTTATTTATTATACGGCGTATTTGAGTTCCTTTGCTTCAAAAGCAATGTTCAAAAGGCTTCCACTTATAATAATATTGTTTATTCATAAACTGTCATTAGCTATTACCAAATTCAGTTTACGAAGTCTTAAAGTGTTTATAAGAATATAGACTGTGTATTTAATGTTACGTAACGTATAATTGACGGCTAGATGTTATTTTGAATTGGTTCTTCTTGCCTAGTTTATTCAAAGGTTGTCAACGCATCTGCAAGCCCTGTTATATATCTAGGAGCGGAGGTAATCATTTAACATCAGGTAAACTACCTGCGTGCTTGCCAAATGTTCATATAAAAACACAGTTAGCTTTTATTAAATAAAAGCTCTTATAAATCTACTTCTGCTTCCCGCTTTTGTAAACAAGTAATAATCGCTGCTTCCCTTGTGGGTATTATCTCCTTTATCTAGGTTGCTTGGAAGAAATCGCTGTTTAGCGATAAGGCCGCCTATTCCACAGATTTGTATTTTTTTTTTATGGAGAAAAGGGGCAAACGAGCAGGAGGCTCACCTGATGGTAAGTGATTACCGCCGCCCATGAACACCTGCAACACCCGAGGGCTCACAAATGCGTTGCCGGCCTTTTAGAAAAGAGTATGCTCTCTTCTTGAAGGTTCCCAGGTCGTAACGGTTCGGAAAGACCGCCGGTGGCAGCAGGTTCCACAGAGTGGTAGTGCGAGGCAAGAAATGCCTTGAAAATCGCGCTGTTGTGGAACGCTGGACATCGAGGTGGTGATGAAATTTTTGGCGCGATGTCCGATAGTGGAATTCAGCCGCCGGGATCAATCCAAACAATTCCTCAGAACACTCCCCGTGATAAATGCGGTAGAAGATGCAGAGTGATCCAACATGCATTCTTTGTTGTCAATCAATATTAGTTAAATTGTACAATACACTACATCCCAACATGGTATTATGTTGGGATGTGCTGTAACACACCCATATTAACATAATAACACCCAATAAATAGCTACTCCTATAGTCACTAGTTAGTTAAAAAAATATATATATGTCATTAAAATGTTGACTAAATACTCTACAAGTAACAACCCAACTTTAATTCCGTGTGCTGGATAATAACGCTAACGATTAATTTGACCCTACCCACAGCGGAGGGCCCAAACCCGTGGGTTCTGGCTAGCCCACCGGTTCTGCGTCAGATGAAGCTTTAATAGTCTCGGGACTGAAAGCAAAAACATCAGTTAATACAAGAAGATACAAGACGATTAATTTCACTAGGCTGGTTTGGAACTTCAGGGCTTTATAAACTTTACATATGTAACCTAATTTGTGTTGTTTTTTAAACATTCCTAAGTGGTCTTTACAAGTAACTACAAATATTAAACGATTATAATATTACATTTGCGGCTTTTCAACTGGTTGTAAGTGTTATAAACATAGTGTATATTATAAACTGGATAGACCAACTTACTGATTCCCAACTTAACTAGAGAATGTCAATAGACATTAAGTCCGTCCATTGTAATCCGTATTTAAGGTATTTGCAATGAAGAATAAATAAATAAATAAAAACGACAACGATTCAATATTCATTTAAAATTTGTTTCAGTATACTCATTGAAAAAAAAAAACACGATGTATTGAAACAAATCTGCTTGACTTCTGTTTGTCTTTCTAACCATATAATATGCTTTTAAAGAGCATTTATAACAAATTCATAGAAAAAGTAAGATATTTTTTCAATTTAAACTCTGGCCGGTACTTGACCATATGACCTGGAGGTAAGTAGTAATTTGGTAAAACGTAATAAACGCAATAGCAAACTAAGAGCCTATTCGCTCCTGCCTTTGGCACACCAACATTCTTATAAAACTAATA